GGTGGCTGACATGATTCCCTCTCAAAGCAGAGCCAATGTGGAGCCTTGATTTTCTGGGCGACTGTGGGGAAAGAAGCCAGCCAGGGGACACAGGTGGCTGGAAAGGTGGTGGGAATTCAACCAAAGGGATGTACGAGCTCATGAGCAAGCCTACACCATGCTGTGATGGTAATGAGGAAGGATTCTTCTTGGGTGGAAGTCATTGCTCATATAAATGCTGTTCTTGAAACTTCTGTTCTTGATCATAGCAGGAGTATATGTGCTTTTAAACTACATCGCTGTGATGTGCAGATAAACCAGTGAACAACAAACATGGATATTGAGAGCCCTTAGATATGCAAAAAGACTATGAGTGCAATGTTTAGACTGATATAAGGTCCCACAACTCCCAGTACGCCTAATAAATCTTATTGCTCTTGCTGTATATAAACATCTCTCCTACAATCCTCAAAGTCATTTAGCTGCTTGTTTAGCTATATACACTGCTTAGATTAACATATTTATTTGAAATGGCAACACGAATTCTTTCCTCCTTGTGTTTCCTCCCCTCCCCCATGTTCCTTATATTAAGAGAGTAGTTAATAATATTGGTGTGATTTATGAAAAGAATGTCCCCTTTGTTTTTGCTTGCTTGCTTGCTTGTTTATTGGTGTTAGGGTTGTGTTGCAAGTAAAAAGATTAACAGCATCAACAGTGAAAAAGCAACGTTTTAGCAGCATTGTGTTTAAATGGGGTGCCCTCAAGTAGGGCATTTTAGAGAGATTTTGGCCCTGTTGCAGCCTTCTGCAGTGGATGCAAAGGACCGGGTTTCAAACTTCATGACAAACAACCCGAAGTCCACGGCTTTTTGTCTGGATGTCCTAACTGATGAGTGAGTGGTTTCTATGCTAGCACAGTTTCCACCTTCCTCACTTAGTCCTCCTGCTGTTGGCATGTATTACTTCCAAATCGCAAGTAGTAGTAGTTCCTCTGTACTCCTCATTAATCAGACCTCATCTAGAATACTGTGTCCCATTCTGGGCACCAAGATTTCAGAAAGATGTAGGTAAATTAGAAAGGGTCCAGAAGATCCAGGGTCTGGAAACACTGCCCTATGCAAACAGACTGAGAGCACTGGGCATGTTCAGCCTCGAGAAGAGAAGACTGAGAGGGGACATGGCATCACTCTATAAGTGCCTCAAAGGATATCACCAAGTGGAAGGTCAAGATCTCTTCTTGCTAATGTCAGAGTGTAGGACACAGAATAATCACTTCAAGTTGCGACAACTGCGATTCAGGCTGGACATCAGGAAAAGCTTTCTCACTGTCAGAGCAACAGTGGAGCCAGCTGCCTAAAGAGGTGGTGGGCTTTCCCAGCTAGAGACATTCAAAAAGAATCTGGGCAGCCATCTGGCTGGGATGGTGTAACGTGGTGTCCTGCGACAGCAGGGGGTTGGACCTGATGGCCTTCATGGCCCCTGCCAACTCTACTCTTCTGTGATTCTATGTATCCCAGCAGCCATTGTACCTGAAATTCAGTGCCACTCTGGAGCATCTCTTGCAGTTGCCACTCTTTCCAAAGAGGACTCTGTGGTAGCTGCATGTCAGCACTGTGGAAATGACAATGCCAGATGTGGATGATTGGAGAAGACATGGTCATAGAACAAACAGCTGTTTCTTATCATGGGTCCTTGTACCATGCTGAAATACCATGACAGGGTTCAGACGACACACCAGACTATCATGCACAAGAAATCACCGAAGCTTGGCATTTCATGCAAACCTGCTCCCTATGGCAACTTTGCTAAGCATTTGGGGCATGAAAATGGGCTTCACTGGGGACATCATGGTTCTGTAGATCAGTCAAGGGATGTGCCCAGACCACTGCACCATATGGGATTCATTCAACCATTGTTGCAGCCTCAGAACATGGACAGAGGGCATGGAACTGTACCGCTTGTCCGTGACCTTTGAGCATAACATCTAGTACAGCACCTTGTGTCTTTCCCATATCCAATTCCCATCAGCCTTAATCAGCACAGCCAATTGTGAGGGATGATGGGAGTGGTAGTCCAAATCACCTGGAAGGTTACAATTTGCCCACCCCTGGCTAGTGGGCTAAGTCCAGGAGATAGCTTCTCCAGCCCCTTCAGTGGAAACGGCTGTTGAGGCTGCTAAAGAATAACACTTTGGGATTATTGTCTGATCGCAAATGTCCTATTCTGGAGCATGTGCTCAAGCAGCTGGTTTCAATGTGAGCTGGTACACTTTGAATGACTTGGATCCATTCCAGTCCGGTTTCAGGCCTAGCTCTGGCAGGGAAACCATCTTGGATGACCTTGTGGGACATAAGAGGGCCAGTCTTGGTGAACTCTGCCCAATTAAGTGAGAGAGAGAGAGAGGAAAAGAATCTAAGTTCTTCTTCTTGAGAATAAGATTGATCACAAACAAAGGGGCAACTGGCCAGGAGCTCCCTTTTATACCCCAGTAGCAAAGAGAGTTGGCCAGTGGTTTGAATACCTGTCATGAGAGCTGGTTGGTACATTTGAATTCAGGTGATCTCTACATATACCTGGGAGGCTGGTTCATTTTAGGGCTACCTGAGGGCCTTTTAACATGGGGAACTCTGGAGAGGGATTCCTCTTAATCCCTGACCTTGCGAAGGTTCCTATTACACTGATAAGACTTGAGTACATGACCAGCCCGCCCCTGCTTAATGCCAGCCAGCCAGGTATGACCTACAACCTGATGGATGTGCCATGAGATGGACAAGGGCCTCCACAGTGGCTTTGGGTATCAGAGGATCCTTCACAAGTCTTCTGGGTTGGATCTACTAAAAAAGCACAGGGAGTCCGGCTTGGTACTTCCTTCCCAGCCTCTATGCTGTAATCTTCCATTTCTTTTAACGTTCCTCAAATAGAGCACATTTAACACTGGCAAGCATCTCACCGGATGAAAGAGATTGAGTCTCCTTCACTCTCTGAGATCCCGAAGGGGTGCTTCTCTTCTTCTTGAAAATATACCTCTGCTTCCGCATATCAGCCTAAATTTTGTAGGAAAAGTTGCATACACAGCTGCTGCAATTCCATGCCAAACTTCTTCTCTTTTGCTCAAACTTATGCTCTCCAGAGAATATTGCCATTGCTTTTGTTTCCTTCAGAATATTTTTTTCAGTCTTAGCATTAGCATTTTTGGGACTAGCTTATCTAAGCCTACTAGCAATTAATAATGGGAAGGCAGTTGCCCACAAAGAAGAATCACTGGGACTTCCTCCCTGCACTCCTGCCACCAGGCAGGCCTGGCCCCGTACGAATCCCTGCTGTCCACACACTGGCTGCCACCTCGTGCTCCCTTCCAGCTGCAGGACTCCTGCAGGGAGTTGGCTCAGCCCTCACAAGATCCCACAGTTACAGACCTCCAAGGCCACGGCAGGGAGAAGCGGCAGCACCCGAAACAGGTGCTGCTCCGTAGCAGCTCACCGGCTGCTCTCTTGCAGCAGTGGATCCCAGCATGGGCAGCAGCTGGAGGGGCTCTCCGGAGCCCTTCCTGGAAGCGGAGGAGAGGCAGTGACCGGCACCGTGGATGAGGGGGGCCAGGCAGGGGGGCAACGGCAGACTCTCTCACTCCTCCTGTTCTGTTGATCAATGGCATGACCAGTCCTTCCTGCTAACGAATATTGTCAAGGGTGCTAATTTGGTGCAGAAGCTCTGGGCTGATGGCTCAAACCATTCCCAGTGTCTGTGAATCATGCATCTCTAACAAGGACGCCCGCAACTCCAGCGCGTGGGCGAAGCACCCTTCGGTATGGATTTTTCAGGAGGATCACGACTGTTCCCATGTCACTTTAATCTCCTGCCCACCGGATAAGACAGGCCTAAGGCTTGATATATGGAGACAGAGCTTCCTTGTCTCTTGAAGAACCTGTTTAGCGTATTTGCATATGTAGGCCAACTTCCAGGCTAGGCAAGAGAACCACATCAACCCCAATTTCTAGCCCAACAGAATGATTAAAGACCCAAGCAGAGAGACGTTGAGAAAGAGTCAGCTGCTTTAAAAATACAAATGAAACATCAAACCAGCTCACTGAAACTTACCTACCAGCATCCTAAAAACAACCCAGCAAAGCATCTTAGACAAAACTAAATTACTATGTACCACAGTGTATCTTCAAGTGATGGTCTAGTCTTGATAGCTGGCAGGCTACTTACTTTCCTTTAGCTGGGAATTGCTTATGGCAAATATCTATTGGACTAATTGCATTGCGTTGCATTGTTTCAGGACATGCCTCCCTAATTTAGATAGATGGGCAGGTGCAAAATTGTGTAGGAAGACAAAACTCAACAGGCATGACATTTTTTTATGAGGTGCATGCAGAGGGAGGGGGAGAAAAGCCAAAAGTTTTAGGGCACAGTCTTCCAAATGTAGCAGGGGGGAAAAGAAAAAGAGAAACTCAGCACTAGCAAAAGGCAAGGTTTGATTTTGCTGTCACACTCTTCTTGCTACTGCTTTGACATCAGAGTGAATCACTATTTTAATCAAGCTATTTAATGTAAGTGCAAAAGCAGCAAAGAAATTTCCATCTTCGTATCACGCAGCATGAACTCTGATGCTAGTGACTTTGCAAAGCAGAGAGAAGAAAGAAAAAGAAAGAAAGAAATTCCGTGATCCAGAGCCAGGGCCTTTAGATTTCTCTCCCCCACCTCTCCATGGGCCTCTTTTTGCCCTTGATGTCATGTGCTAAACACGAGGGCTTGTAGAAAGCTAATCCTTCTAATTAGGGAGTGCTGACCCCAAAAAGAAAGCCCCCCCTCCCGGCCTCCAGCCATGGTCTCTTGGCAAATGACAAAGAGCTGATGTCTGCCTTTCAACCACATTCAAGGAATGTGGAGCCCAGGATTAAACAAGCACCCTAAAGCCTAATTTGGAAGGCAGTGAAGAGGAAAACGGGCAAAGCCTGGCTTCCTCGTTCAACCCGAAGAAGCTGCAACTAAAATTGCTGTCTCTGTTATTGTGAAGACGGAATGATTGCTGGAGCACGCCTGAGCGTGCCAGCCGCGGGCTTCCTGCCGCCATGGGGCCACCTGCTTCGCTGGGCCCTCTTGGGTTCCCTGAGCCTTCCTGGCCCTCCAGAAGCCAAAGCGCAGTTCCCACGAGCGTGCATGACTGTGGAGACTCTCCAGTCCAAGCAATGCTGCCCAGCCTTGGGGACTGATCCTGACAATATCTGTGGTTCACAGCAAGCCCGCGGAGTCTGCAAGGAGGTGGAAGTGGACTCCAGACCTTGGGGTGGCCCATACACGCTCCGCAACGTGGATGACCGGGAACGCTGGCCCCTGAAGTTCTTCAACAGGAGCTGTCAGTGCACAGGTGAGAAGGTGTGGCGGGTGGGGGGGGGCGGGATGCCCGGCAGACCCTGGAATGTCCTCCAAGGGTCTGCAGTTCCAGGAGTGTCCATCTACTTTTCATATCTAGTCGAACTTACCTTTTTGTAACACACACATGCACCCCTGATGTTTCTGTTATTACTTTTCTCTGTTCGTGGTCTGAAAATGCCAATAGGGAAACGGTCGTGAGGAAACTTGCTGTTGTACCTTGTGATGTGTTCAGAGCTGAGACACATTAATGGTAGGGAAGCCTTCCAGATCTTTGCAGGATGCCTGTTTTCCATAATTCCCATATTTTAACAAATGGGTCTGATCCCCACCTGTGCCCTTTTGATTAAATGATGGATCATTCCCACACTTCCCTGGGCAAAGGGTGCGCTGAACTTGGTTGGACATGCTTGGGATGGTGAAAGGCACCAGGATGGAACCAGACTTAATCATCCTCAGAGCAGACAGACTGAATTAAACTGGACTTACATTTGCCATAAATAAATGTATCCCATTGATTTCCATTAGCTTTTTCAAGGCAGGGCTTTGACTGGAACCAACTGAATGTACTATCATTTGCACCTCACTTTCCTGAGGGGAGAAAAGTTCTAAGGGGAAAGTTACAGACTTTCCTTTGGTTAAGAGAAGCCTGGAAAATTATCTTTGTGATACTGCCTGGAGTTGCAATCACAAAAGCAGAGCATATCAGAAGGAAATGGATATACCCAAAGACCCAGAGGAAACCGATCTACTCCATACCTCCAACCCCCTCCCCTTTTGTGGCTCCAAAACACTCTGAAGCAGAGCCAGGCTTACTTAGAGTAGACCCTTAGTAGCATAAACCTTAAAGTAGACACTGAAATCCATAGGACTTCTACCTACCTGGAAACAGGTTATTTCAGTGGACGTAAGTATGGCTGCGCCTGGCTCTGACCTTCTATTACTCTTTCCAAAGCGCTCTAAATACCACCTGAACATGGCTCCAACCACTTCTCTTCTTTGCTTTCCCCAGCTGAAGGGTTATCACCTTCTGCAACACTGACGGTTATCCGAATCCCAGAGCCGGGGAGATTTTTAGCTACTGGGAGAGCATCTCCTCTCATTAGTTCCCATTGATCATTGGAATATTGTATCCATCTGTCAGTCTAAAATGGGAACAGGCAGCCAGTATCTGTGAGAAAAGCAGCCCCCCAATGGCAGCAAAGCATCATTTTGTATGCAGAGGGTAGCAACACAACAACCAGCTTTGGCTATGCCATTCCCGTAGGTCGTTTGCGAGATGCTATTTTGGAAGGAGAGCTCATTCGGGAAATCTTCCAAGATCTCGTTCCATCTCACAGCTGCACGAGTGTGTGTGTGTTCTCTGGTGTGTGCGCTCCCACGTGTCTCTTTTTTTAACCCTCTCATGCCCATCCCAGCAGTACTTGTGTGCTGGGATGGGAGGCGGCAGTGGAGAAGCTTGAAGCAGCACTTTCTGACGGCCGACATTATATCTACCAGAGCACAGAGGCATCAAGGACTGTGCATGCAGCAGTCTGCGCGAAGGTTTTGACCTGGGTGATACGTTGCATTGAAAGGGTTTATGCTTTCTGGATCAGCTACATTAGGGCGGCTGATTTGGCCAGGTGAGGCCTGGGGGAGGAAAGAGAGTATCACAAGCTGGCAATGTAAATGTTAAGTCTTCCGGTGGATGTAAATTTGACTGCCAAATGAAAGCTCAGGCACATGTATTTCTATTATATTTCTGTGGTGGCAGCCACAGGTAGCAGGTGGGAGTGGGGGTGCACAGTGGCAATGGCGGGGGGGGGGTCAACAGACAGAGCTGTGTGTGTCATGGCGCCTGCTCTGCTCCCCTAAACCGATCTCAGGCTGTCCATCACACAGTGCTGCAGATTCGATGGCCGGTCCAGGTTTGTATGTCAGGGAAACACAGAAGGTAGATCTCAGGATGCCTTAGACTTCAGCGCTGGCAGCCAATGGTCAGGCCAATGGTCAGGAATGCCGGGATCTAAAACACCTGGAGTTCTATTTTCTGTCCGTCCTTGCTAAACATGGATGGGGGAGCCATCCTGGCTTTCTTTCAGGCCCGAGCTCTTGAGCTGGCTCAAGTTTCACAAACTTTCTGGTTTGGGTTTCCTCTCTGGGAGGTTGCACAAGCACCAGGAATGCACCGATGTCTAGCAGATGGGTTGCTCTGGACTTAGGGAATCACAAACTGTGCAGGCCCAGTTTGGACAGAAAGCTGCCCTAGCTGGGTTTATAAATAAGAGGTAATATCTTTGTAATATCTGTCTTCTCTCCTAGCCACTACAGTCCATGACAGGCTAAATGGCGGTAGGATAATGGATCTATGGCATTCTCTGCCATAGGTGCCTTTCTACGTAGAGCTTTGATATTATAAATCTGGAGTAATTAGATATGAAAGGCCAATCTATTCTTGTGTTCTCTTGTTAATACTTCTTGTAAGGGATTATTGTTAGAATGGGTTGCAGAAAGTCTGCTGATTTAGGGTAGAGGTCATGAATCCAATTACAAGCAATTGTCAGCCATTATTGCTGTTAGACAGCTTATTTTATAATGCATCTTTTAATAATCTGCTATGTTTCCATGTATCCTTGCTCCAAGTGCCATGTTTTCTAAAGAAAGCTCTTGTGGGCCAGGCAGAGCTGTCTGAAGCTTAATGTGGTCTCCATTCATCCATCCATCCATCTAGACAATACAGTTAGTGTAGCTGGTTGTCTGAGGAGCTCAAAAGAATCATTTAAGAAAATGTTGACTTGATCAGAGATCGTAAAACCACAAGAAGAACAGAAAACCCAGGAAATCCCTCCTGGATCAGACCAGGCCTTTCAAGTCCAGCAGGCTGTTTGCACAACAGCCAACCAGAGGCCCGTGGGAAGCGAGCAGAGAGCATGTTCGAGCAGAAGCACCCTCCTGCTTGGGTTCACTGCCCTTGATACCGGAAGTCATAAATAGCCACCTGACTAGTAACTATGAATTCCCTTTAAAGCCATCACAGGGTATCTTGGTGTTCTCTGGTGAAAAGTACGGAGCCATTAAAGAGAGCCATTTTGCCTAATGGGAGGGCAGAAAGCCAATGCAAGGCATGCAGGTGTGTGGGCATCAGAGCAGTCCCTTGCGCTTGGTGAGCCTGTGTGGTCTGGGCCAGATTTGTGCAGTGATGCTTGCTGGACCTGCACACGTGGAGCCACTGCGCCAGGAGGCACAGCGGAGCGGTGTGCGGAGCAGGAAGCGTGTGGCTCCTTCTCCTTGCGTGTGTTTCGTGTACGGATGGAGGCAACTTCCTGGAAATGGCTGGCAATTCTGTGAGACTAAGAAAGCAGACTGAAAGGAGTCATCTACACTGACAGGTCTGCCCCTGTCCCAAATGGAGACACAGTTTTGGAGTTTAAAACTGCCCCCCCTCCCCAGTTCAAGCCAGCTTGGGTCCTTTAGAAGGCTGCACATGATGACAGTGAAACCACTCCCCTCCCCAAATCACATACATGTTTAAAATGGGGGGGGGGAACCCCAGGTCTGGGGGTCAAATTCTGCTTACCAGAGCTCCTAGTCTAGGGGTCCGTCAGATGGCCCTTCCCCATTTCCCTTGCTGCCCCCCCTTGCTGCCAGCCTCCCATATTTTGGTTGTCTCTCAGCTTCTGTGCAGTCTCTCTCCCCATTGTGAAAGCTCATACTTCTTACCACTGACTGCAAGAGCTTAAGCCAAAATATGTTGGTATTTTGATTCCTTTTGCCTAATTTACCACTGAAATGTAGCTGCCAAGAACTCCTAATGCAGCTTGGCCCTTTCCCTGCATGAGGTTCAACAACCCCTGAAACAATCTCTTCCGCTGCTTTCTCAGCCTATTTATATCTGCATTATGGCATTTGTTGTTGCTAGTCGCGAAGTCATGTCTGACCCATCGTGACCCCATGGACAACACTCCTCCAGGCCTTCCTGTCCTCCACCATCCCCTGGAGTCCACTTAAGCTCACGCTGACTGCTTCAGTGACTCCATCTAGCCACCTCATCCTCTGCTGTCCCCTTCTTCTTTTGCCATCTATTGTTCCCAGCATTAGGTTCTTCTCCAGGGAGTCCTTCCTTCTCATTAGGTGGCCAAAGTATTTGAGTTTCAACTTCACTATCTGGCCTTCTAAAGAGCAGTCAGGGTTGATCTCCTCTAAGACTGACTGGTTTGATCGCCTTGCGGTCCAAGGGACTCGCAGGAGTCTCCTCCAGCACCCCTATTCAAAGGCCTCAGTTCTTCAGTGCTCAGCCTTTCTTATGGTCCAGCTTTCACAGGCATACATTGCAACTGGGAAAACCATAGCCTTGACTATACGCACTTTTGCTGGCAGGGTGATGTCTCTGCTTTTTAGTATGCTGTCTAGCTTTGCCATAGCTTTCCTGCCCAGGAGCAAGCATCTTTTAATTTCTTGGCTGCAGTCCCCGTCTGTGGTGATCTTGGAGCCCAGGAAAATAAAATCTGTCACTACCTCAATTTCTTCCCCGTCTATTTGCTAGGAGCATTATGGCATAAACCATGACCATGCTTTTTCTTAATACAGGAAACTTTGCCGGCTACAACTGTGGGGATTGTAAATTTGGCTGGACAGGGTCCAACTGCGACGAAAAGAAGCTGCCCGTTATCCGGAAGAACATACACAGTTTGTCTGAAGAAGAGCGGGAGCAGTTCTTGGATGCCCTTGTGCGTGCAAAGACAACTGTTCACCCAGACTATATGATTGCAACCCAGCACTGGCTGAGCTTGCTTGGTCCCAGTGGGAATGACCCGCAAGTGGCAAACTGCAGCATTTATGACTACTACGTCTGGCTACATTATTACTCAGTCAGAGATACTTTACTAGGTGGGTTTTTTGTGGGGAGGGGAGGGGTGGGGTATAGAAAGGGGGAAACACCTACTGAAGCAAGATCAATGGGCTTTTACAGGGAAACCAGCCAGAAATGTGCTGGACAGTGGAACTTTCCCCATGCAGTGTTTTCATTTCTCTGAAATGTATTTCAGAGAGGGTTTTGGGGAGCTGCGTTCCAGGTGTGGGATGAAAGGCTACTCCTCTGCACCTTGATTCCGAGGCTGTGTTATAGGTCTAAGTATTTTCTCAGATCCCCTTTTTTGGGGAAAAGCGACTGCTTTTGTGGAGAGACCACTTGAAAACAGAACTGTCCACTGATCAGAATTCATGGCCCAGCCAGCTTCTGTGCCTTTAAGGACATTTTGATTTGCAAAAGTCAGCAGATGATTTTCATAGTCTAACTGTAACTGGTTACTGTCTTAAGATCAAGCGGCTGTTAAGGTACAAGAACAGGGACAGCTGAAGAAGGAAAGACAGCCACATGTTCACACCTTCCCCCTCAGCTCAGTCATGCAGATCAGTAAGGACTGGTGTCCTGCACGGCTTTCTCTGTATTGAGCACGGAAAAACTGTCTTGTGGTGTTCAGAGAAAAGCTCTTACCTTCACTTGACAGCTGTTTGGAGATAAGAGATTTTAAGCAGACCAAGGTTTGCTAGGTAAAGCTGCTGCTGATCGGAGATTAGACATGGGGAATGAGCAGAAGGGTTACGGAAGAAACTGGTGACTGGATGGATAACTCTCATGGGCTGTTTCTACCCTGTGCTCTCCATGTCCTCTACAATGGAGTAAACAACCCGGTTTTTGATAGGTAGAGATTTACTTTTAACCTTATTCCTTTAACATGGAAAAACAATCAGTCAAGATGCCCAGCCTTCCCAGATCTCCCTAAAATTGCCTTTCCATCACCCTCAACAACAGCTACACCTGTTTATTCATAGCCCACATCAATAGCCAAACACCTGCAGCTTTGTGAAACAAGCAAAACAAAAATGAAATGCCCCAGTGGGAGGGGAGAAAGAGAAAGGGGCAAGGAAGGGGACCTCTGGACAATAGTTTTGATAAGACAGATCCAGATATGTGATTGGTGCCCCTTTGGTGAGTCCTGTTCTCATACCGGTTTTCTTTCCTCAGGACCAGGGCGTCCCTTCAGAGCAATAGACTTTTCCCATCAAGGACCTGCCTTTGTAACCTGGCATAGGTACCATTTGATGCTGCTGGAGAGAGACCTGCAGGTTGGCCACACTCCTGTTCTGTGCACATGAGATGCATCTTCCATCCGGCCCTACGCCTGTGTGTGGTGGGGAGCGAGGAGACAGGGCCCTGATATATGAATGCTTTCATTTGCATGCAGTAACTCTGAGCATGGGCTTTTGCTGAATGGTGGGTTGTGTAGAGGTTGTTAGTCCATCGTTTGGGGAAGGGTTGTAAAGGGGTTCTATGGGTGTCATTGAGTTGTAAAAAAGTTCATCAGAAATCCAGTACAGAAGACTTCTCATCTCTCTCCCCACCCCATGTTATTCAGAGGCTGATTGGCAATGAGTCCTTTGCGCTGCCTTACTGGAATTTTGCAACAGGCACGAACGAGTGTGACGTGTGCACGGATCAACTTTTTGGAGCCTCAAGACCGGACAACCCGAACTTAATAAGTCAGGATTCAAGATTTTCACAGTGGGAGATAGTATGCAATAGGTAACCAGTTCTGAGGCCACAGAGTTATTGGAGCCGAGTCCAGGATGCCTTCTTTAAGGAAGGGCGGGGGGGCGGGGGGGGAGACATGGCTGGCAGCTACAGATTTAGATCGATACGTAGCTTGACTCTTACCTGAAAATGGAAGTGACTGTTCCTTGTCTCCTCCTTGCAGCCAGCTGGAGAGACGAAGGCCATGCTTAGGAGTTCCACGTGCTTGCATGTTATGCTAAATTCTAATTTGATGTTGCATTTGTTAGGAAAAAACCTTCCTTTTAATATTTGGAGCACAATTAATCCTCTCCCAGGCACAGGTTCAAGGGGGGAATCCTAATAATCACTGGAGGATATGAATTTCCTCTCCCTTGCCATCCAGGGTGCAATCTGTTTGTCCATTATCTCCAGCGAGGAACCTGTTTGCACATGGGTCGATCTAACAGCCGGTATCTCCCCAGTAATTGCCCTGCATAAGCTACTCATATCAGGGTTCTAGATCTGAATTTGTCTAAGGCAATATGCAGTGACATTTCTCTTAGCACTAGACAGCGATGGGTTGTGCATGCTGGCTCCAGGCAGGCTGGTCCCACCCCTCTCCATTCAGACCTTAACTCCTAACACCTGGAAGGGAGTTCTGCTCAGGTTCACCTGGAAGTAAGTAGAGCTCTCAGTGCAATTGTGGATCCAGCAATTTCTGGGTTCCTACTTGAAGAGTTCTACTTGACAGGCAGGCGAATGCATGTGACACTCACTTTCAGGAACTGCTCGTTCAACAAAGCAAGGCCTTAAGAGTGTGAGTGTGTGTGTGTGTCCAGGCTAGGCCAGCACAAGCTCTGAACTCTACCCACTTTAAGTCTTCATGCACTCAGGCAAATGTGGGGCTCCATTACTTAATGGAAACGCCATTAGGAGCTCTGCAAGGTGTCTGCACCTAGATTTTCAATTCGCACATGTCTTTCAGTATGAGATTTTTCTGACATTTGCCCCAGATTAACAACACTGAAGATCAGCTTCTCTACACAAGGCATTTCTGCACTTGTGATTCCTCATTTGCAGTAGCTTGTGGGTGATTTATCCAAATTTTTACAGGGTCTCTCCAGTGCCTTTAGGGAGTTCTGTGACTGAAAATGGTGGAATGAACCAGAATAAAAAGCTTGTGCTTTTTCACAATCTGCTATCCCAGGCACTACCATGGGGTTGTGTGATGTACACTTTTTTGCACAGAAAGTCAGAGAAAGCAAAATCCACCCCCATTCCCAAAGGAACACATCTGTAAAGAGGGTGAGCTTAATCCTGTAATGTATCTGGAAGCAGAATCCTCAGTAAAGTGGCAGGCTAAAAGCCTCATGCAGGGAAACCCTTAGGTAGTCAGGCTGCCAATTGAATCAATGAAAAATTGCAGTCCTTTTCCACTGTATAAAGCAGCCTTCCCCAACTGTGTGTCCTCCAGGCATTTTGAGCTACATCTTACAGTGTTACTGAACACTGGTTGTACTGGCTGGGGCTGATGGGAGCTGAAGTGCAAAGCATCTGGAAGGCATTGGATTTTTGAAGGTTGTGACAAACTCATGCCAATGAAATGCCACGTCTTTCTGTTTCTAAGTCTTTCTGTTTCACACCTAAGTTTAGATGAGTACAACCAACTGGTCACATTGTGTAACGGGACCAGTGAAGGGTTGCTGCAGAGGAACCCGTTTAGCCAAGCGAGTGATCAGCTGCCAACCCTGGACGATGTTCGAAGCTGCCTCTCCCTGGAAGACTTTGATAAGCCCCCCTTCTTCAGGAATTCTAGTTTCAGCTTCAGGTTAGTTCTTTGGCTTCTTTCTATCAATCAGTTTGCTTAGCAACGGCCTTTCTTCCAAGGCAGAAGATAGTTAGACGATCGTGTTTCATGCTGCTTGTTCTCTGTGACAGGAATGCTTTGGAAGGTTTTGATAAACCAGATGGGACCCTGGACGTTCCAGTTGTGAGTCTGCACAACTTGGTGCACTCTGTCTTGCATGGGACCATCGCCTTTCCCCATTCTGCCGCGAATGATCCGATCTTTGTGGTAGGTCCTCCTTTCTCCTCTGGTTTCCTCAAAGCAGGGCTAGGCAGCTTCTGGGGGCTGCAGCGTCTCCTTCAGAAACCTGCAGGTGTGACATTCCTTCCCTACTGGAAGCTGCCAGCAGCCGAAGTTGATGCTGCTGGAATTCCAGGAATTGTGTTGGGAAACCAGGCACATAGGAAGGGTGCCCTTGGTTTCCAGACCAGATTGGGCTTCTGGAAGCCCACTAAACAGCTATCCAGTGGGCCTTTTGAAGCCCTTTCGGCAAAGACCAAAGGGTGGCACTTCAGGGCATCTTATTTGCTAGCATAATAGCCAGGATTTTCGTGACATGAGAGGCCATGACTGCAGGAACTGGGGCAGGGTACCCAGATCACCAAGAGGGGCACATGAAGCCCCAGACCACATGCTTCCCACACCTGCCTTGAAGTCTTATAATGAGATCTGCCTATATTGGAACTTTTCTTCATAGGAAGAGTGTCTCATTGAACAACTGCAAATAGAAATAATGTCTTTTTTTTTTTTTTTTGGATGCAGTGACCTCTCTTGTGTTCCTTTTTAACTCCCTCTATTTCAGAGTGTGGCATATGCCATAAAGCTTTGTGATTTGTGTATCTAGTGGGGATCATTTCCTACTCCTGGTATGGTTTCAGGGAAAGGTATACTTAAGTAATAAAAGTACACCTTCTGGTATCCCATGCTCAAATGCCGGCCTCTTCTGTTTTAAAAAAGCTGGAAAGGAGCCCTGGCTAAGGCTAAGAACCACAGCAAAGGCACCCAGTAAAGGTTTCTGTCAAGCCAATGTTTCACCAATGGTTGAAGCACCGGACTTCAGATCCATCTGGTGCTGGCCACCCAGTACCTGGTAGATATTTTCAGCTATGATTCCCAGAAACTCGACCCCTGGCCATGCTACAATACTTATGGGAGTTGTAGTCCAAAACAGGAAGGAGGCTGATGGATCAGCAGTGTCACTCTAGGTAAAGTAGCTTGTTCTATTCAAAAATACCTGCCTTTAAAGTGAATGTGGATGAACTGTAGAAATAAAACCAACAATGGACTTAGATTGTTCAGATACAGAACCAAAGTGGACGCACTTTTTAACACGTTTCATTAGAGAAAGCAAAATCTTGGTTGTCCTTAATATCATTAGATAAAATAACAACTCTGAAGCCAAGATTGTCCCTCTCTGCACCTTATGTCCCCTTCATGGGCAGTTAAGAAGAATGTCACTGTGTACAAATTTGCTTGGTTTAGGGAAATCTGTATAAGGTTTGATAGACACACAGATCTGCACTGTTCTGGGTGTGTAAATGAAGATATGGACTCCCTCTAGTGGCTAAATTAAACCTTGATCTTTACAGCTTAGGGGAAAGAACTTATACAAACGTTTTAAGACCTCCGTTTGATCTTAGTAGAATTCTGTAACAGTCCTTAAAAATAATGCAGATCTTGAAATGAGCCTTCTGGAAATCTTAGACATAATTACATCGCTATATCTTCAAACCACTGTACAAATTTTCTTAAAAAGACAAATGAAAAGCAGAGCAATAGGCCGTGGTTTCACTGACTTTAATGCTGCATTTTGGTGCTTTTCTGTGATCGCAAAACACCCCAGGGACTAGCAGGCTGCACTAGCCATTGCATGATCCTAGGCTTATATATTCGGCAAGGTATTCTGACCTGCCAGCAAGAAGGGACCTGGCAAGATGTACTGTGAAAACCTGCCCTCTTTCATTACTGACAGAAACCTTTATCTTTCCTCTACCTCGCGTGCCAGCACAGTAAACCATCTTGTGTTGCCTTGTGCACCCTGCCGTAGTGCGGCTGCGTCACACACCCCTTCCCCCGCAGCTGGGACCGTGGCAGGCATTAAAGCAGGGACAGGCCACTGAAGAGCTGTGTGGACTGAATTCCCAGGTCCTGCACACCTTCACGGATGCCGTCTTCGACGAATGGATGACACGATTCCACCCAGCTGGCAGTGTCTGGCCGCAGGAGCTGGCGCCCATTGGCCACAACCGGATGTTCAACATGGTGCCTTTCTTTCCGCCCGTCACCAACGAGGAAGTGTTTCTGACTGCAGAGCAGCTTGGCTACAGCTATGCCTTTGACCTGCCAGGTAACGTATTCAGTCCTTTTACGAGATTCGGTCCAAATTAGACTGACACGCCACGTGGACTAGCCGCTGCAGTGTTCCTCTGGGACCTACAGCATGCTGCAGCCAAGGCAATCAGGCATTTGAAGATGTCGGCGAGCGACGTCGTTTTCTTTTTTATTCAACAGTGCATGCAGGGCACCCGACTGGGATCCTGGCCTGGGGGCCTTGAGCTTTTGGCCCCTGCTCCATTCCTGAAATGTACCAGCTCTGTTGATCTTTATACACCAGCGGAAGGGTCCGGCACAGTCTAGTGGTTAGCATCTAGGACCTTAGGAAGAGAGACCCAAGACAGTATGAGAAAGGAGAAGAGGAAAATGGTATAAAGCACCACTTCAACATGCTCCAGGCCTTTTCTCCAGCTCCAGTGTACCCTGGGATACTGCAGGACGGGGGATACAGCGGGGAAGTGGTGGCAGGGGCACAGAAGCACCCTCTGCGCTGCTGCTCGATCAGGCACAGAGGTGTGGTGAAAATTCCCAAGGTGCTTAAAGTGCTTCGCGACCATCTCATCCACAAACTACTTCCAGGAAACTACTTTTTCTTCCCATCAAGAGCTGGTTGTAAAGTCTGAATACTTTGCATTCCAACAAGGAAAAATATACCAGATAGCAGCTTAAGTTCAGAGGGTAGCAGAGGATGTCGCTCATCCTGCTCATCAAAAAATCCAGACATATCAACCCTGCAAGCCCTGGCTGCATTACCCACTGCCTGCACCAGTGCCTGTCAATGGAAGCTGCCCAGGGATGCATGAGGTGATGCTGAGCCTGGCCAAGATCTTGGGAAGTGTCTTCACGTGTATGCGCATCTTTCCAAATGGAGAAGCACCGAGCAGCTTCTCTGCTCGGAATATTAACTGCCAGGAGTTGCTTTTACCTGCTGTGAATCTGACTTTGGTTTTCTGCCTTTCCAGATTCTTCTGCAGAAGCCCGTGCCTGGGCTCTTGTGGTTGGATCCAGCATCGGAGGAGCTCTGATAGCTTTAGTTGTGCTGGTCCTTCTGCTTGTGCTCTTCCAGCATAGGAGACACAGGAGAGGTTTTGAGCCGCTCATGAATGCAAGGTTCAGTGTAAAGAAATATACTGAAGACCCATAGAGGAAGAATAGCATTTTTGCAAGTGGCCAACTGATCAGCACCGACCATCTGCTGAACTAGCAACCTGAACCAGAGCCATGGCTGGGTCGGTTCTAATTTGCAACCTGCTCAACAGCATACCTATTTCATTACAATTTGGGGGCATCACACACTTCGTCACCTCTTTAGGACAGTTGGTGACCCTTGGTACAGACGTTGACTTCCAGTCCATGAATTATGGCCTCCTGATTCTTTCACATGCACGAGCAGGAAGAAATCTTTCCCGGCTGGCACACATCTCTGAATCTTGGTGAAATCTCCAGTTCTACCCTAAAAGATAATCTCTGCTACGCTCTTTCAAAAGCCATCAGCAGTGCTAATCTTGGTGCAAACAAACCAGGATTAAGCTCAGGGCTGTGCATGGCCCTCTGGATGGACACACTCAAAAGTACCTTGTTAGGAACCCATCTGAGTCTTTGCATCCACATCAACCAAATTCACTCATTATGGGAGAGATACAGTTTTGGTCGCGCCCTCGATATTTCTGTTTTAATCGTTAGTATGGTGTGCTTTAAAAGAACTTCTCTGAAAAAACGATTAGCAGCTCTGCCCCCTTTCTATAGATTTAGCTGGTTCACTGTGCTGAGTAAGTTGCCTTTACAAGAGTCTCTTCTGAGTGCAACAGAAGTGGGCCACCTCCAGCCCTCCAGATGTCCTTGGACTGCCTACTTGCGTGCAACCTGCAGACAGGTGGCCTTGCCCTGAAGCTCTGACAGCACTAGTCACCTGTTCGGCGAAAGAAGGAGGCACATCCTGTCTGTCTCTCTCCTCCCTCCCTCGCCAAAAAGATCTTGATTATTCGGAACACCTTTATCCCATGCCTTCCGGAAGGCACGTGGTCTCTCCCTCTGCCCATTTAATCTTTGCAACGATTCTGTGGGTTCGGTTAGGCTGGGTGAGGTGGGCAGCTTGTGGGCACTGGCTGAGCAGAGAGTTCACCCTCTGGCAGCAAGGCCAATGGGAGGAATGTCGGAAGTTTCAGTCCAGCATATCTGGAGGGTGTGAGGTTGGGTCAGGCTGTGCGCACTGCTGGACCTCATCAGCTGTTTGGAGAGGCCTGGCCTGACCCAGCTTGGAAGCAGCCCCATCCCCTTTTGTGCTCTCACCTTCAGCACATGTGCAGCTCGGGGCCACTTACCCAGCATCTGCCCCACCGAACCGAACAGGACCTGCCTCTGAGTAGGCGTGTAAAGAATTGCACTGTCAGTTTGAACATGCCGTTCATGCATGGAAGCCTGTAGGTATTCATGGCCAGCTATCAGCTAAGTGTATTTCACAAGCGAACTTACTGTGTACATTAAAGTTTACATTTCAAAATGTGCTGCAGCCGCTGCATCAAATCCTTGACCAGGATGCGCACGGAGGAGTTGGGCACTGCAGCACCGTCTGTCTCTCTTCACTCAAGTCAGACAGCTATGACTCCCTTGTCTTTCCACCGAAACACGGCTATTCTGCTCACAAGTGGATGTCACAAGTAGTTATAACTCTAATGGTTATTCTGCTTACCAATTAATGCCATGTATAGTCATAACTCTAACAATGCTAATATCATAATACAAATGCAAACGACGCCATTTTTCCTCCCATACTTTGTGTATTGTTAAATAAAAGAGACCGAAAGAATGAGGAGGGCAGGATGGGGACTGATTTTTAAGAGGAATCCAAACCAGGGCTGTATGAAAGCGTAGGCCGCCCTCTTGTGGCTGGCTTGAAAATGACAGCGAGATAAGCTTCGTGACCCCTCCACCTCCACCCTTTCCCACTTCCTAAAATGAAGGACCAGGGACATGTTGCGTTAGTTATGCTTCTGAGCAAGCACGCTTCATCTATTTTGGAAGAGAAAGTCATCCGGCCCCTTTTAGCTCAACCAAGTGGATCCATACTGGTTGGGCTTCCTCAAGGGGGCGGGCAGGTGGGGCGATCTTGGCTCTATCGTTCTGCCTCTTGGCTCAAGAAATACAGCCTAAGCACCTTGGGGTAAACTCCATGGGACTCAGCAGGACTTGCTTCCTAGTAAACATGTCAAAGATGAGGCTGCAGGTACTAATTAAAGTAATGCCTCAAATTAGGGCACTATTCACAAATAAATGAAATAAAATGGCAAACGTAATCAGACACCAGCAGTTCCTCTGCAGTCACACACTGAACTTGTAAACGGATCCTAATAGGGCCCAGCTTGGCCGAACCCCAGAGATGGGGGAAGCTGCCCTGTATGGCATCCAGCTGTTGCTCTGTCTTGCTCTGTACTGTCTACCTGCAGAAGAAAAATAGATCTCCACTCCCGGATTTCAGGGAGAAATCTAGTGTAATGCTGGGGACTGAAGTTGGAAGTTTCTCTAACCACTGAGCTATGGGCCTCCCCTTAACAGGGGTGGGTACTCCAAGCTACAGGGAGTGAAACGCAACACAGCTGCCATGTGTGGGCACTGGTGATGGGGACCCACTGCCCAGAGCTTCCTGGACCTGCTCCTGCTCTCCGTCATTGCCACCGCTCGTTCTGGTGAAGGCCATCACAAAGTGAAGGAAGGTGGTGGCACCAGGGATGAAGAGGTGGACCAACAGCAGCTGCTGTTGGTGGTGGTGCTGGTAGGAACTCATTGAGGGAGGGGGCCCCTTTAAACATGCCACCCAAAGGGCCACAGCAACCTAGAGCTGCTGCTGACATGGACTCTTGCTCACTCAACAGCAAGCACCTCTACCCAGAGGCTCCTGGATCCAGAGCCATCCTTGCCGTAAGCACGGAAAAGGAGACCTTGTTGCTTCTGTGTGCAGGGCAGCAGGTAAAGCCAAATATTGCTGGCTGAAGCCAAGGGTGAACAGCCATTTTTAGAGAGATGGTGTCCGCAGGTGGCTTAAACACTGGATCCTTGCATTCTATGTCCTGCATAAGCAATGTACCTGTAGAACTCAAGCTTGGCACTGGTGCTGAAGCCAGCCATAGGAGGGCAGTGATCCAGAAGAAGACTTCAAAGGAGAGCTTTTCTACGCTTCTACCAGTGCAGCTCATATTTCAGCAGAAACACAAGCTGAGCAGTTGGGATCTGAAAAGGGTGCACCAGGATTCTTGTACAAGCACGGAAAGCCACTCAGAGAGAGCCCAATGACCCAGTGCATGGATCGTCGCGGAGCCTTCGCCCACAGCTGCTGCTGCAACATCAGTGACCTAGGCCTCAGGAGGGGCTACCACCCGGCAAAGGCTCACCATGGGATGCCCCGCAGCACAGCTGTGCGACCAAAACAACGGCTGTCTTCTTAAACAACTGGGTAGCACTCAAATGCTGCTGGCCTTTCCAGTCACAGCTGCCAGTGAAGAGCAGCGCTCCTGAAAAAAGAAGGGGCTTCCGCTTTCTGTACGCTTGCAAGCGGCCTCTCGGCTCCCGTTGTTGCTCTCTCCATCGAGAATGACATTGCTCAAAACCTTGATCTCTCAGCCACCCCGGCTTCAGTCTGCACAGCTCAAAGCTCCAAAAGCCACATGCTGAGATGTGGCAGACACAATGCGACACAGCAGACCTGTCTTGGGTTTTCCTTTTCATATATTTTTTCTCGCATTAGTCCCTATATTTTAGCATTATTGTAGAACATCTGTTATTTTTATATTTTAAAAACATGGAAAGCAATACCTAAGAGTACCGTCCACTGACATCTTACAGCTCTGTTATTATTTATGTAGTGTTTATTGTGTTAATTTGAAGTGCTAAGTGCTCAGTAATGTTGCCTCAAAGGAAAGTTGCACTCCACTGATTTTTGCCTAGTGCAAATGATATTAAACTGGAAACTGAAAGAGAGACTTCCTTTCAAGGTAACTGAAGGAAGGTCATTTTTGCAGTTAAGCATGCAAACAGCCTGTAGAGTCTTGCAGAAAGAAAGGGTTACAGGCACGTGCTTTTTGCCATCCTGGCTCACTGCAGACGATACATTAAAAATCAAAGCAAATAATAGCCAGTGAACTCAGCTCAGAGCTGTCCAGAGCCGTCCAGTTTGCCTTCCACTAACACTGGCCTTACAGAGTCCCACGTGGCTCGTTTTTTCTTTTACTCTCATGTAAACCTGCACCCTCCCTGATTTGGATCAGGACCATGGAAGGGAAGTTTAAACCTTGTCTTCCCCCCATTTTCCAGAAAAATTGCAGCCATCCACATATATTGGAAGAAGGGGGGGGGTTACACAAAAGCCTCTGTAGGAATAAATTGAGATAGTTTTGTATGTGCGTACTAATTTCGTCTTTGTGCAAATTTGGGGGGAAATGGGGGGAAGGGGGAGAGTTTCACTGTTTCCCTTTTTAGCAGCAGGATCCCAATCCAAATCAAGGCTTTGTATGCTTGCAAACCCGTCAGCTGCAAGACAAACCTCAGCGACACACTACAGAATTTGCAATGCGGTTCCCAGTGGCATGACCGGAGCGGCACTTTGCTCATCGCAGGGTGAACGCATGTGCCAGTCTGGAGCTCGTGTGATTCCTTTGCCGCTCCGCATGCTTTGACCTTTCAAACAACGCTGGAACCACATTTGCCCCGTGACCCTCTTGAAATGCTGCCCTCAATGTGCAGGAGCAGCACGGTCAAGATGTCCGTTCGCAGGCTTTCCGCCGGGAAGTTTCCAAGTGTGGCATCAGGTCTCTGAAACAAACAAAAATTCTCTTTGCAGCTGCTGCATCCTTCAGTTGTTCTGTTCTAATTTAATATATTCAGCGATTTGCAACACTTGGTTTAACCTCCCTGTACTCCCCATGAAGAGATCCTGCTGCAGGCTGATTAACAAATTAGATTATGAATTCTAAGAGAGCTTGTTGTTAATTTAATTGAAACCTAATTGTGACTTCATTAGCATCTTCTAATTTTCTCTCGCGCTGATACTTAAGGTTATCTGAGGTTTTCGGCATCTTTGCTCCCGGCCCCACCAGCATGCGCACGAGAGGAAGGCTCCTTCATTTTGATGCTGCCTGCCTCCATCCTGGGCTC